ACGTTACCCAGTTTTGGCCACTCGATGATAGATTGGATCTTTGTTGGGTCCATTGAGACGCCTCTTTGGTCAATGATATGACCTAAATATTCCACAGATGTGAGGCCGAAGTGACTCTTTTTTTATTAATCACTAATTCGTGTTGTTTCAATAGAAGGAGGACTGATGAGAGGAGTTCCATATGAAGGTTCCATGTTGGACTGTAGATGAGTATATCATCAAAAAAAACTAGAACGCCCCGTCTCAATAAGGGTCGGAATATCTCATTCATCAATGCTTGGAAGGTTGCTCGTGCGTTTGTTAAGCCAAATGGCATAACAAGAAACTCGAAGTGGCCATCATGGGTTCGGAAAGCGGTTTTCTCAACATCCGACTCACGCACTCGGACTTGATATAAACCAGATTTAAGATCAATTTTTGAAAAGTAGTGCGACCCATGCAATTCATCCAACAGTTCCTCCACCACAGGGATTGGGTATTTGTCTGGAATAGTAGCTTTGTTCAAGGCTCTGTAATCAATGCACAACCTCCATGAGTTATCTTTCTTTTTAACCAAGATAACAGGGCTGGAAAATGAGCTATGACTGACTCGAATAATGCCTGACTGCAACATCTCTGTTACCTGTCGTTGGATTTCTTCTTTGTGAGCATGGGGGTACCTATAAGGGCGAACACAAATGGGACCATGTCCCTCGTAGAGATTGATTTTGTGCTCAATGGCTCGTGCAGGAGGTAATCACTGTGGATTTTGAAAGAGAGAAGTATACGAGGCTAATAATGTAGCTAACTGTTGTTGCTGTATGGAATCCAAGGCTGACGGTTTGCGCACATCGACACTAAGGCTGACCAGATGGTTTTCAAGGTAATTTCGCAAAGATGCTTGATCAATTAGAGGTGAGTTAATACCTTGGAGACGAATCTGTTCACCCTGCTTCCAGAATTTGATTTCATGAGTTTGCCAGTTAAAGAGTACATCCCCCAATCGGCGAAGCCATGCGACACCAAGAATGAAATCTAGCGGTCCCAGGTCGTATACGAGGGCATCGACATTGCAGGTGAAGGAACCGAAATTCAAGGAGACATTGCGGCACTGATGTGTAACCCACACTCGATTTCCGTCTCCCAGTCGTATCCCTAGAGGTCCGATAGCATGAAGGTTGATGCCCAGGGCTCGAGCTAACTTTTTCGAAATGAAATTGTGTGTAGCTCCGCTGTCGATGAGAATCAAAGCAGGGAATCCATGGATTTCCCCTAAAACCTTCAGGGTTTTTAGGTCAGAAGAAGAAACATCAGTAGTTACTCCACAGAGCTCCAGAGATTGGCATTCGCCATCGACATGGGTATCATCAGGAACCTCGATTTCAACCTGACGTACTTCGCCGTCATCCGATACTTCGTCACCATCTGCCAGAAGCATGATACGTAATTGACCAGCGGTACATTTGTGCTGAGGGGTATATTTTTGGCCACAATCAAAGCATAAACCCAAGCGGCGTCGTTCTTCCCAGTCGGACTTGGATAGGTGACGGGTACGGGTAAAGTGAGATGGAGTTTGGGCTTTATGGATTAGTTGGGTAGATTGGGTGTTGGGCTTATGAGGAAGAGTGGACTGGAAGGAGTCCATCTTAGAATGGGTGGTCTTCCCGATGGTTGTGGGTGAAGGTGTAGTACCGGATGAAAACACCGACCGGAATTTGGTTGTTATCTCCGATGGACCAGATGTGGCGACGGCAACGTGTCTAGCGAATTCCATAGCCTCATCACAGGAATTAGGGTGTAGGGTACGTACCCAATTTCGTACCTCGTCTTTCAAGCCGCATAAGAACATTCCAATAGCTTGCTCTTCCGACTGGTTAGGAATAAGAGCGGAAATGGCCTCGAATTCTTCAATGTAATCATCGATGGAACCCTCCTTGAACAATGATCCAAGGGCTTCATGAGCGTTCCGGAATTTGGTTCCGCTGAATCGAACCATTAATTTATCACGAAACTGAGGCCAATCGGTGTGTGGGTGTTTGATCATGAGGTTTGTGTACCAGCGACTCCAGTCATACACATCTGAGATAACTGAAGTTTTTGACTATTTGGGATATGGTTTACCGTGAAGTATAGTTCGGCTTTGGTAATCCATCCTCGAGGGTCAATTCCGTCAAACTGTGGAAGCTTCACTTTGGGTAAGGAAAATAATGAATTGTCAAAATGGTTTTCATGTATGATTGGAGGGAGGAAGTCTGAGCGAGAGGGTTTTTGGATGATGATGGTGGGTTGAGGGGTGTGCGATCATGAATCATCATCGGAATGCAGCAACGGTTTCTTCCCGGAAGATGACGCCTGAATCATCTTCTCGACAGTGCTGGGTAAATTAGTGAGGACGACTTGCATCGAGGTCATTGTCTTGGTGAGGTCCAGCATCTGAGCAGAGAGTTGCTCGATCTTCTCATCTGGAGTTAGCACACGAGATTGAGAGCGAGTATTGGCAGCAGGGGTATCAGTATGCACCATGGTTCACGGAGGAGAGAAAGGGTAAACGGCAATGGAACCAATTGATAAGATTCGAGAAAACGAAAACAAAGAATGAGAGGGATGGATGTTTTTATTTCAATTCCAAATCAGAGAAGCTCTCAGAGCCGATTACAATACTAGAATGGAAAAAAGATGATATCACTATTACATCCTCATGACCTATAAAGATCTCCTCCCTCTAAAAGATTTCTCAACAGAACAATCACTCCCAACCACGTGGCTTAGGCCTCCTTCTATAGACTTTCCATGAATTAAACCCGTTGGGCTTCTCCAAATTAGTGGGCTCATTATCATGTTCTTTATCACCACCACACTGATACCAGTTGGAAATATAGGCAACAGACCTTCACACTTGTTAAAAGACCAAAATACCCTCATTATATGCATTGAAGATTAAAAAAAAAAAAAAAAAAAAAAAAAAAGAAACATTAATTACAGTAATTGCATTTCTTGTACAGATCACCAGAAAGAAATGCAGGCTGCCTTTCAGGTGAAATCCACATAATTGGTTTGACTAAAATAAAAGGTAACAATAAGATGCTTGTTCAAGCATCACAGCTGAATGAAGAGATTCCTGCAAAAAAATGAAATTTTTTAACAAAACTCTCATATATGTAAATAATTACTTTATTCACAAGAAGAGAATTGATTATTACCTACCAAGTGGCATTTCCTTTCCCTGATGTCCCAATTCATTATATAAAAAGTAGACTTTTTAAATAAATAAAAGAATTGACTAAATAACAAATTTTAAAACCAGAGGGGTATTTAAGGAAATACACAAACAAGAATCATTCAAGATTGGTCATTTGACCTTCCTTGTCGGATTCTTCATTGTAAGTTTTGGTTGATTTTCACACCATAACATTTAAAAGCATTAAGAGGTAAATTCAGCTTTCATAATAACAATCTTTATAAGAAATAACATTGACTTAAGAGTGCTATAAGTTGTTAAAACAGCAAAGCCTTCATAGACCATCAAATCCCTATAAGTTTATATTTACTTTTTTTATAGATGCCAACCAAAATCGAAGTCAACATTTGGCCCAGTTATCAGAATTGCTCCGATAGCAAAGAAAACTGATTCTCATTTTAACAATGTTTCATATTTTATGATGACAATGTTATAATCCTAAAATGTTGCATATATTGGTTCCAGGTTGCATATTTTCTCCAAAAATCCAGGTTGTTGTGTATATAATAACAAGTAAACTCTTTAACTTGTATGTAAATGTTGCAACTTCACATCAAAAATACACTATAAACTAGTATTTAGACTACCTGTGCATTATCAGCATTAAATCAGTTTCATCACCTTGCTCCATCTTAAGCTGCATACACAAAAAAAGCACACATCTCATGAAGGAATTATAATTACAAAAGTCTGTACATACCATAAGCTTTTTTTATTTTTAAAAGAGATAATTAGACAATGAAAAAAAGAGTACTTACACATTGTTAATTTTTTTTTTACCTCATCAGGAGTTTGCTCCTTTTATCATTGTATGCCTTCATAAAATTCTTCAATTGGGTGTTGTGCATAATCCTGAAGAACACCTCATTGACAAGCGGTAATCAAAATCAAACATGTAGGAAAAAAATAAAAGTTAATATTTTAATAGGTTTTATTTTCAAGGTATAATGTCTAAGTATTTTAATTTTCAAAGTGTAATGGCTTAAAAGAAAAAGCTAAAAGGTAGAATGTTTTCAAAGTGCATTGTCTAAAAAAGAGAAAAAGTTAAAAGTACAACATTTAGATATTTTGATAGGAAAAAAGTAAAAACAAAAAGTCTTAATAGGTTAATATGAAATTTATAATGCTATAATTAGTATAATCTCTCAATATGGGAAAAAAATAGAAGTATGGTGCCTTGGTAGGTTAAATTTCAATGCACAATTTTTACTATAAAAGAATAACATTTTTATAAGAAAAAGTTAAAACAATAATATCTTAATAGGTGAAACAATAACAATGTCGTTTAAAGGTTAATACTATGGATGATTATATTTTCAAGAAATAAAGTCTTACTAGGAAAATAAATTTGAAAGTATCATGTTATAATTGGTAACCATGGTTACACAAGTTTTAGAAATTGGACGTATAATGTTTTAATAACTGGTTTTATACCTTAGCATCTAAATAGTAATCAAATACATCATCCTACTTTCCTTTCATCTTATCACAACATTCTACTTTCAGAAATCTACCCAGTGTTAGCAAATGTATTACAAATACAAAGTGACTTCACTGCTTAATTAGGTAAAAAATTTAGAGTATAATGTCCTAATAAGCAAAACAATTGAAAGTAGAATACTGCAATAGAAAGAAATGAAACTAGGATGCCATAAAAAACAAATGAACAAAAGTAAGTTGTTATTGATTTCAGTTAATCCTAAAAATAACTTACACTAAAAGAAAATCCATGACATCAGGAGACAAGGGTGATGGCCTTGTTTGTCTTCCATTTTGTTAAATACTAATCTGTCCCACATAGCATAAAATATGCATTCTTGCCTGTAAGATATAATATCAGACATATTATATTCTTTAAAGTATGGAAAACTAAAAGTGCTGAAGAAAATTTTATACATTGTTACCTTTAAGTGATGCTTGACTCTTTGCATTAAATGCAGCAGCTGCATTAGACAGTCTTTCTCTTAGACAACCAGATGACTTTGCTGCATTCATAACAACACTGCAATAACCACCAATCTAACTAAGCCTTACTGATTGAAAAATTCATAAAATTTATCATATACTCTGTTGTATAATCATGGAACACAGTAGGTCTCAATTCTCCCATGTCATCCAACAATTTCAACTTGTCCTACACGAATGAAGATACAGTGTAAAGTTTAATCCCCCATTAAGTCAAAATGAAACAACAGTTTTGTCATGATGTGATAAAGTACACTAAAGAAATAATTTATCATGAACTTAATTTGGAAAGAACATAACCTTGAATTTCTTACTCCATGATAAAATTCAACTGAGCCACTATAGCACACCTATATGATCTGGTTATATGTGTACCTAAGGAAGATAAGATATGTAACTGAAACAAGCATGGATTGGGCAATATTAGAACAAAATAATATATGATGAAACAAATGGCATTTACTTACAACTTAATTTCAAGATTTCCATCAGTAACATTTGCAATCAGGTTTCCCCAACCTTATCACCATGTAGGATTAGGAAAAGGAATAAGTTCCACTTATGGTAAGCAAAGATTCAACTTTGACAGACTTGAAAAGAAAGAAAAAAGCACAAGTAAATAAGAAATAGAAACCACTTGTATAACATATTGTACAAGTGGTAAAACATCCAGAAACTGACGTTTATGCCCCTGTTGGAGTATTCCTTTGCCAAAGTTTTGTAAAACTCATATACTCCAGCTTTTGCAGCACTGTAGTTGACTTGACCAACATTGCCAGTCAGACCGAAAACAAACATTATATTTGATAATTCTTCCCTAAAATACTTTTAACATAGATAGAACATAAATACAAATAAAATACTAAAATACACTTGATAGGACCTTTTTCTTTTTCATCATAATCATGGCAGCAGCCTGAAAACATTTTATATATAAAGATTTAGTACAAACACAACAATACTTAACAAATATTTGAGAATAATCAAGAATCATACCTATGTATCATTGTGTACATAGGAATACACCAGTGAGAATCAAAATCAACAGCTTCCTGCCATTGAGATGTCTTCATCCTAAAAGACAAACATGTGATTCAGGTTTAGAGTTTAGGAAGCCAGGGAAGATAGAATTATTTATGTAACCTGCATTGTTGACCACTACATCAACCATCATCCCCTATTCCAAGAAAGAAAGCATGATAAGAGGCTCAATAAGTTTGATATTAGTATAAAAAAAGAATGAAATACATTTAAAGATCCAAAAAACATAAATTTGTGTGTATTTTGTTTTTCACCTTAGTGGCAAGTGAAACAGAATGAAAATTCCTGTTAGGAGTGCAGCCAATGGTGATCTTTGAGAATCTATCTGCATTATTAATGAACCATTAATTCAAAATATTTGGGAATTAAGTGCATCAGTGTAGATATCTCTGGTGATAAACTGCACTTCAAATCTTGAAAAATAATCTGTAGTGACCAAGGGTATTGACACATGAGATCAAACATGAGTTTCTCAAATTTTTTGCTTTGACAAAATAATAAATAAGAATAAATAAAAAAAGTGATACATATTTATGAAGACAGACAACTTTAACGAGAAGAAAAAGAACTATTGCTCTGATTTGGCCTTATGAACAGTTACCAACAAAATCTGAAATACATTCTCAAAAACCCCCACCCAAAAAATTAACAAAACTACAGAAACAATATGTAGTTTTTTGTTCTTTTTAAAGTTACAATACAAGTGGTGCAGTTAGAAAATCAGATTTTACACGAAAAAAACGCCAACCAAAAGATGAAGAAGAATACAGGGTTTCTACTAGAACAATGAGAATAAATAGATTTAAAAAGAAACAACTAATCTTTCTATTTTTTCTTATCCATACATAAAGTGGAAATTACACCATCTGAATTACAGAAAAAACCCTAGAGAACTAAAATAAAAGGGAGAAGAGAAAAATGAAAAGAATGAAAACTTACAGCGATCTTGTCAATTTATTTGGATTGGAGACATGGTTGTGAGTGAGTGGCGAAGGATGGGGGTGCTTGGGTCTCCGAGAAGCGGAGTTACAGAGATCGCGGTGAGTCTCTCCGGCGGTGTTTGGAGAGCGGGATGAGTGACGAATGAAGAACGGTTCGTTTGTATATTATGCGCCAAATACACCGACCCAAACTTTTTGACTTCCCAAATCCAACGGTTCGTTTTTAAAACCTTTTCCAAAATTAACAGCTTATTATACGAGCAACATAATACACCGTTTATTTTTTTTCTATTTATAAAACAATTTAAATTTATATTAATTTATTTAATATAAGAACCTTAAATTTATATATATCCTTAATTATCATCGTTTATATTAGAGTTTTATGAGCAATTTATAGATTTGGTCCTTATAGTTTGTTATTAATTAGATGTCGTCTTGTACAGCTGTACCAAGGTCGATCTAAAGAGAGTTCAATTAGTGCCCATGAACAGAAATCATAGGGTCCAACTTTTTTTAAAATATATATTAGCCTAGGTTGAGTTTAGGCTCAATGAAGTTAGGTTAATTCTTTGTTCTTTATCGGTCACAGCAAACGCATGCACACATCGTATCATTACTCCAGAAGGAAAATCAACTGAAACTTTGGGAAGTTAAAAAAATGTTTCGATTTCTTCGCCGATTATGCAGATATTAATAATAGTTACTGAATTGTCTCCAAAACTAAATAGCAACGGTCTCAATCTTTGAATAAAATTAGTCAAATTATAGAGGTTCGAGGTTTCTACTTTTGATTTATTTATTCTTTCTTCTCAAAAATCATAAGCAAAACAATCTTACAACCTTTTTGAAAAATAGCTTTGAGTTCTTACAATCAAACAATCTTTTGTTTTGTTTGTTGAAAATCAGATTTTAGAGCTCCAAGTTTCAAAATCATAAGGTAAATGAAACGTCCCAAAATAAGACCAAAAAATTTTCATTTTTAAATTAATAAAACAGTAAACTATATCATTGTCACAAAACCAAGGTACTCGAATTTTATCAATACATCATCATCATCAGAGTAAATCACAAGATACGGGAACGAATGGTGTGTGCTCTGCAATCATCATGGGTTATTCCCTTTGAAACCAGAAGTGTTTGAAACATAAACAGAAAACCGTAAGCACAGAGCTTAGTGAGTTCCCCAAAATACCACATACCATACATACATAGCACATAACGGGCCCCGCCCAATGAGTATAACGGGCCCCGCCCTAACTCGCATAACGGGCCCCGCCAACATACAATTCATATGAACATAACAGGTAGTGGCATACAGAATAACCATTGTGTCCCGCCCAGTAAGCATATAAGCACATACACATATAAGTGTCACACAGACAACGAGTATTATAACATAATAGATCATGGGTTGGCATTGGTGCCTTCGACCCACAAAACATAGCGATGAAACTCACCTCAATTCGTTGATAATCAAATAATTGTTCGGACCGCCGAACCAGATAACCTCGCGCCAACTAACAATAAATACAATCTTAATCAATAATTAACCCGATAACCCAAAATACCCTTAGGTCAAACTTGGTCAACCCTGGTCAAAGTCAAAGTCAAAGTCAACGATCAAGGTCCAAAAGTCAATATTTCTTCCCAGCGGAGTACGCCCTGCATACCAAGAGAGTACACCCAGCATAGCATACTCTGATGTTGACCAATAGCAGGGGGCTGACCACGTATGCGCAGCCAAGTACGCCCAACGTACTCAGCCCAGTCCCAAAACTTCATTAAGAGCTTATTCCATTAAGTTCTTACATCCAAAACTCATATCCAAGCCCAAAATGATGTCCTAAGTCAAAAAGTTTCCAACTTTATGACTTTTCATGGCTATAAAGTGCTTAATGTCCAAAACGCTAAGTTCTTAACCCAATAAGACATCACAACTCTTGCATGGAAGGGATAGAAGGGCCAATACCATATTTTTATAGTTCATAATAGTCTATAATGGATAAAGTTTCCAACTTATCCATTAGAATAGTCCCAACAAACAAGATCTAGTCTTTAAGTCTTAAAGAGACCCAAAAGTTCATCTTTTTCAACTTAATCCATTAAGTACAAGTCTCCAACTTTCAGATCTGAATCAAAATAATGTTTAGATGGATAAAATTTCCAACTTTATCCATAATAAGGTCACAAACTTTCAAGATCTAAACTTTATGCACTAAAATGACCAAACGCTCATAACATCTGAAACTAGTTAGATCTAACAAATGCACCATCAAGATTCAAACTTTACACCTCTAGAAGATAGATCAAGGTGAAAAAAGTCCGGATCTACAAGCTCCAATGCAACCAACACTTCTCCAAGAAGTTCCTTCTTCTCCAAGGTGCACCATGCATACTCCAAAGCACTCAAAAACACCTTCTTTTAGCACTCAAGGCTAAACTAGGGTTAGGGTTTCATGGAAGGGGTGTTGGAGGGGTGGAGGCTGTGAATGGAGTAAGTGTGGGGGAGTTAAGGAGCTTAAATAGGGCGCAAACCATGAAAATAGGGTTTGGGAACTGATTGCGTACGCACAGCGTACTCAGGGTGCCTCAGTACGCCCAGCGTAACCCAAAACCGATCAAACTTCAAACGAGCATAACTTCTTCGTTCTAACTCTAATTTCAACGTTCTTTATATCCACGGAAAGGTAACGAGGAGCTCTACACTTCTATCAACTCATCCATGCCTTAAAACTTTCTGGAAAAAAAAAACTCCAAAATTCATAAAAGCCCGAACTGACACTTTACCGAAATTCCCATTGGCGCCAAAACATAGACGAACTCCCGAATCATCCAAATTACATTATCCACACCCAGATGGGTCTAAATATCTTTTCCTTAAAGGCCCTAAGCCTGATGATACTCGGTCTTCGGGTCACCAGCCCCATATAGGAAATGATTCAGAACAGGGCGTTACAACTCTCCCCCACTTAAATTTGATTTCATCCTCGAAATCACTTCCTACCACCCTCCTGAGAACCAACGTTCCGAACAAAACCTTCTAGTGCTGAACAAATCACCTTACCCATAATTGTCGCTCCCAAACGATACTTCTATAATTCTGAAGCCCTATATCTTTGTAGTAACATAACAAATGTTTTTTTGATGAACTTAAAGTGAGTAGCTAATGATGAATAATTATAATTAGGCTTTTTAGGATGTTACCTCTAAAATAATTTTGCTTACAAAAGACGAGCCCCGGTCAATATGCTTTCTATCGATGGTTGGTGTCATTTCATATGTAACTCTGTGGCACTGTAACATATGAGGTGTGAAAGTGAAACTTAATTTATGTTAAGAATTAGCAATCTACTTTCATTTATTTGTTTATTATATATTATATAGCATATGCTACTTTCATATATTCTTATTACAACATTCTACTTTATAAAAACCAACCCAATGTGTTAACAAGAAAAAAATTGAATGTATATAAATTGTGCATTTTTTAAACTGTGACGGCTTAATAAGAAAAAGAGGAAAGTACAATTTGTTAATAAGGAAAAAAATGAAAGTAAAATGTTGTAATGTGAAGAATGAAAGGGTGATGCTATAAATTATAATAAACAAATAAATGAAAGTGTGTTGCTATTTGTTGCAATTAGGGAAGATTTGAAATCCTTTCATTATTTGGATATTTCACAAGTGGGGAAATTAGAGGGCAAGAAAGTAAAATGAGCATAACTTTATGTAGACCTGATGGTCGTTTGGTTCAAATGATTATCTCTATTCATATGGAGACTTACTGATGACAGGAAAGTATAATTTCTCTAATCATTGTATTAAACCAGGGTACATACCACCACATATATGTATAACTGTGTTTGTTTTTATGCATTTTATATTAATACAATTATTTGGTGCATTTAGGTTGAACCAAATATACATAACATATAGGAACATCGAAGGAAAAATGAAAGTATTTTCGGACAAGATATTGTTAAACTTCCAATAGTTGCTACAAGTAAATGCAACCAGGGGAAGGTGAGACGAGAAATAGCAATATACTTTGTATTTGAATTATGATAACTTTTGAGATAATTACTGTTGACGTGACAATTAACTAATTTATATTTGATTGGTAGGGATACTTCCATGTATTGTTTAGTTGCATTATGAAATTACTTTCGTCTTTGAATCTAAAGAAGATTGTGCTTCCAACTGCAAACGAAGCTAAATCCATATGGACCAAATTAGGCTCCGAAACAATAAAAACAAAAGAGTTACATTTTATCATCTTAACTTATGAAACTCTATTATTTGGATAAGTTTATAAAATATAATTACTTTTTTTTTTTGGGTTAGCTTGGTGACCTAAGGCGAAGATGCTCGGCTATGATAACATTCAAAGGCACACAAACTGGGAGAGATAAAGAATAACCTAGAGAAGACAAATATATTACATTGTCCTAACCAAATTTAGCAGTGTACTTTTCATTCTTTTAGAATAGGCAAACATGAAAGATTGTAATATTGTATTCTCTATTTCATGTCGCAGTCTTTTGATATAACTTCAAATTATCAGACCGACCATCTGACCCGTGCAACGCACGGGTCTCTACACTAGTTAAAATTAATAACTAAGCGAATTTATTCGATTCATTCTCTCCATTATTTCTTGGTCAATACTTTCATATTACTGAAAAAAGTTATTCTCCTTTTCGATTTTGGAATGTATAAACCGTTTGAGTCTATATCAATTGTTTAAAGATATTTTGATAATGAGTTAATAGTTTTATTTCGCTTTCTCATTTGATGTGTTGTAAAGTAATTTAACATAAATTTCACATTTAAATAACAAGACAATGAAAAAGATAATTTGATAAAATTATGACTCATTTGAGTAAAAATGGATCAATTTATTATGTTTACATCCGACATGTCAAATTCACTTAAATAAAATGAATAATTCCGTCTATATCATTGTAAACTTTCATAATTACGATAATATCTTTGTAAAACTTCAAATTACATGTATATCTTTATAAAACATATAAACTCACATATATATACCCAAATACTTAATTAAATAATAACTAACATATTTAAAGTTTTAAAAAATTATCTTTAAATTAGATTATAAATAATTACTTAAATACTCATTTGCAATCTAGGGATGTCAAAAAGTCTCATGGGACCCCGTTCCCGTGGGGGCTCCGTCCTGTTTAGGGGAATTTTTTTAAAAAAATCGGAGGCGGGGGCAAGGTTAACCCCGTTTTAATTTCAGGGGCAGGAGCGGGGTTAGGCAATGCCGTCCCAAAACCCCCATGGGACCCCGTTAATAAATTACACATATATTTACATATATTAATTATATAAATATAATAAATTATAACATGATTTTGAGGTTCCAAAATTCATTAAAAAAAACATGTTTTTAAATTGTTAGTATAATGTTTTTAAGATGCCATAACTTTTTTATTTTTAACATGTAAAATTCAACTATAAATAATTATTTGTTAACTAAAAAATAGTTTCTTTTAACGTAAATAACAACTTTTAGCCAAAAAAAAAAAAGGCAACCCAAAATAAATCGAGGGCGGGGGAACAAGAAAATTTCGGGGGCAGGGGGGATGCACCCTCCGTCCCGTTTGCCCCGGTTGACATCCCTATAATGCAATCTTTATAAAACCTATAAAATCATATATATATATATATATATATATATATATATATATATATATATATATATATATATATATATATATATATATATTCTTTGATGCTTCAAATTCTGCAAAATCGATTAGCAAAATGTAATGATTACATATTCATAACCGATTGGCAAACAATGTATTTCATCTCCTACAATTGATTTTAGAGGCATGTGATTATACTACTCTAAACTATGTAATGAATATGTAGTTGATGGTTATACAATTAGGATTTGCAGCTACAAATAGGTGAATTCAAATGACCTATTATTGACCAGAATCTTAGAAGTACCTGTCAATGTCATAGTGAATTTTGGTTGATGGCAACTCCATGTCAGATTTTGAATTTGGGAGCCAAACTCTCATTTGTCCGGTCTGTCGATATTATTGGGCGAATTCACAAAGAAGATATCGACCCTACCTTTGTTATCGATTGGATACATCCAGATTTCTATCGAATTTTTGGGAGAAGAGTAATATGCAATGTTACAAGTTAATTTTAGTTTTTAATAATTAGAATCAATTTCAAGATGGTGTTTTTAATTCTAAAATCGATTAATTATGATTTAATCAAGTATTTTGGTTTATATATTTTATAGATATACATGTAATATACTATCATACATATGTTGTAGGGGAGAGATGGGCAAATACTGAAAACCAAATTATCCAAATTGTTGGTACCAAATCCCCATTAGTACCAAATTTTTAACAAGACCAACCAGCCATATTTGAAGCTTTGTAACTCAGCCAAAACTTATCGGATTATGTTGACTCCAGAGCCTAAATTGTAGCAAAGATAGAGAAGAATATGCATGATAAAAGATAAGGGAGTTATGGTTGTCCAAAGATGCAGAAAAAAATCTACACCAACTTAAAATGCTGAAACGAAAAAAGCAACATAAGCCCATGTTTGGGGCACTATAACCCGGTCAATAATTAGCCAAATAAGTTATTAGCCAATCTAGATTTATAGACTGTTCATTGGTAGAATGGAAAGAATTGGAGGATGCCAGAAGCTAATTTGTAGCCAAGAAAGAGAAGAATAAACACACAAAAAAAAAAAAAAAAAAAAAAAAAATCAAGCTCATTCCGACCTCATATAAGAGTTTATGAGGGTCCCTCCATATTTCCAGTTACCTGACTGATTAAGACCTGGAACCGCAGCACTGAATACCGATAGTATTATACAAGTTATTAACATTAATTAGGACTAAATGCAAGAAAATACAATGTACATTATATTTTATTTTTTCTTATTATTATTGCATTGTACTTTCATTATAGCATTTGTATTTAGAAACTATTTCTTATTTAGGGTGGTTCATTTTAAAGTTCTTTTTTACTACTCCATTATGACAATAATAACCTACTAATTTGAAAATTATAGTCCAGTTGCAGCAGCTCAATTTACAAAAAGGGTGTGGTTTTAAGCGAGCAATAGTAAACATAGTAAACAGAATCAGTTTGTGCAATCTGACCAAAAACACGTCTATCAGTAGATTGTGAAATTCAATTCGATAGGCGGAAAGAACCACAATTTTGGCAGATGGAAGCCACCAGTCAAAGATGACATTTTCAAAAGCAACAACTACAATATTTTGCCCTAATTTTTATACATACCAGAACAACCTGCCCTATTGCCTTTTGAACATGTGCTACTCATGTTGAATATCCTACAAGCATTTTGAAATTGAATTATTATACCAAGTGAAGTGACCACCATATAAAAAAATAATGAAGATTTCAAAAAACATACCAGGGGTTGTTTGAGAAGTTCAAGAACATGTGCTAGGATCCTTCTGTTCTCTGATTCTTCAAAACCCTAAAACATGTAAATAGTTGACAACTTGGAGCGACTATTAAAATATAAATGTCTATCTGATAACGGCTACAAATATGAATTCTAACGGTTTATGGAAATAAAGACATAAAAATGTTGCCTATAAAAAAAATATTTACATGGTTTGGCTATGTAAAGTGGTAGTTTGATGATGTAATTCATTAAACCATTGTATCTCAACAACAATAACATAAACAAAAACTTACCTCATATTCGTTTCTCATGAAATCCTCAAGAAGCCTTTTGTATTTTTCCTTAACAGAACCTACAGCCCCTGCTGTAGATTCAAAAGCTAGCAATGCGCTTGAAGCAGCCTCCTCATGTGTTTTTTCTATTGCATCCTACAAGCATTTGAAAAGTGAACCACGTATTATACCAAGTTGGATAAAAATACTAATTTATTAAAGGTTTCACCAGAAAAGCTACCTTATATTCCTTATGGATAATGTCACGAAGAATATGTTTATATTTTCTCCTTATAGAACCGGGCCCACCGGCCCCCTACAGCAACACCCCTAAAAGCAGCTACTGCCTTATTACCGGCTTCTGCTAACACAGCCTACAAGCATTTAAAAATAAACTAAGTGATCACACGATTAAAAAAAAAACAAAAAATAATCAAGATTTCAGAAAACATACCACTGGAGGTTTGAAAGAAGACTTGTAAACGTCTTTAGCATGGTCCAATGCATTTTCTACTAAAAACTGAAAATGAAAACAGTTTTGTGTTACTAAATTGAGCCTAAGCTACTTATCAGTTATCACTAAATGGTTGCACCAAAAACCCTAATCTCAAAACTGCAAACCAATAAGAAAAGGTACCTGATTATTGCCTTTGCGAGCAGAACGACGTACTGAAATGGAGCCAATTGGCTCTTTAACAATGCCCATCATCATATGCTGTAAGATGAAAAGTGAAAACCAATTGCTTTTATCAACTTGGAATGGTGGCTTTTTAAGCTAAGGGTCAATGTTCTGAAATTGACAAACCACTATACAAAAATAACGTAGATTTGGGAAAGCATACTGACTGAGTGTTAAGAACAGAATTGAAAACTTCAGCAGCATGTTCCATTGCCCTTTTGCACTGTGAATCCTCAAAAGCCTAAAAGATGTGAATACAGTTGAGAGTTTTGTGCGATTCTCAAATCCGAATAAAAGAGAAATGACTATTTGATAAAAGCTGTAAATACGAATAAAGAATATAAAATATGTTGCACTTGCACATAATAAAGATTCAAGAAACAAAACATTTACATGTTTTTGTAAATTGCATACATTTCTATTTGCCCACAACAAAAGCATAAACATCTGATAGAAAATAATCTCTAGATCTAACATAGCAGAAACATCTAAAAGCCCTTCAAGGGGTTAAGACAACTATTCTGCAAATATAGTACCCAATGGAAAATCCATTACACATGTTTGGCAATGGTATACATACCAAGTTCATAGATGTAAAGTGGTAGTTTAATGGTATAATTCATAAACCAATTAAATGTATCTATATCTTAACAGTATAACAAAGGTTTCTCCAGAAAAGCTACCTCATATTCATTTGTCATAAACTCCTCAAGACACCTTTTGTATTCTTGTGCACCAGAACCTACAACCCTTGTTGCAAAATCAAATGCCACCAGTGCCTTCAAGAAAGCCTCCTCATGTGCTTCTTTTAATGCATCCTACAAGCATTAGACAAGAAACAAAAAAGTAATCGGAAAGTGTATAAAGCAAGTACTTGTTTCTTTTATGGACTAGATGGATCGAGATATAAAGGAGACACCAAAGCATTTGTGGATAAAAAACTATCTATAAATAATTCTAAATAAGGTTAAATGAGCATATTGCATTCAACAGTTTATTAAAGATTTTGCCAAAAAAGAACTACCTTAAATGTCGCCTGCAAAGCATCACGAATATTTTGTTTAACTTTTTCCCTTATGGCACCGGCTCTTGGTGTATATCTAAAATACTCAAATGCCTTATCACGTGCTTCCCGTACCCTAGCCTACAAGCATTTGAAAAGTGAATTATTATACCAATTGACAACATGATAAAAAACAAAAAAACAAAAATTAATGAAAACATACAAGGGGAAGGTAGAGAGAAGATTTGTAAACACTTCTAGCATAGTCCAATGCGTTTTGCAAATCTGTTTCTTGAACACTCTGCAAAAGGGGAACCTCATAGTTGTTATCCAACACAACACTTACATAAACAAGGTTTCAATTTCTATTTGGATATATAAAAAACATGTGATATTTTTGTTTAATTTCATTTACATTTGCTCACAGGGACAAGGCTCAAGTGAATTGATAAACATCTTTTATGAATTAGAAGTTTGTTGATTTCTGTTTAACAAAGTTCATTCAAGCTAGGTATTCAGTAAGCAATCAAAGTCTTCTTGTCTTATATGAAAAAGAAATGGTAAGTGATACCTATCATTAAAACAAAGGGAGTATCATATATTATATAGCAACCAACTGCTTTCACACTTCTTTGAAACAACTTATATTATTATTACTCCATATTAATTAATGAACCTGAAGTGTCTGAGTGTATAGAGCATTACTAATGCCCAGTAATCAATAAACTACAAAACCAAAGGTGATCTCTCCTATGATAAAAAAGAAAGTTACCTGATCCAAGATAGAGCTTTTGCCTTCATAAGCAGGATCACATACAGAAACAGAGTCGATTGGTTCTTTATCAATGCCAGACATTCCTATTTGCTAGTAAGTAGATCATATGCTGCAAAGAGAAACCCACTGACACTGTGTTTTATTATTTGATTATACACTCATAACATAAACCCTTAACAGTGGATTTTGAAGCTTTTGATGAATTAACAAACATTAATTATGTTTCAAGTCCAATGTATCCTATTATTGTCCCCTACACAAATAAGATCCCCAATCAAACATGTCCTCACGCAATGTCTTCTCCATCATTTTGTGGGAGAAACAATGGATATGTAATTAATTTTTTGGAATAAATTACAAATTTGGTCCATTTTTTAAATCTTCTCGAAGTCATCCTTAAGTTATGGATTTGGTCAACATGCTTTATGCAAAATCTCAAGTTTGGTCTAATGTTATTTCTTTTAATACTTATATTATATTCTGTTTTCAGATGGACTAAAATCTGTAATGATGCAAACGTGAAGACAACTTTGGGAAGATTTCAAAAACTCGACCAAATTTGCGATTTGGAGTAAAGCATGGGGACCAATTTGTAATTTACTCTATTTTTTATAATATTGTTATAATCCGTATACTTGGCTACCTTAAAGGGGACAGATCAAGACACAGAGGGTGTTTGGCAAAGCTTATTTAAAAAGGCTTTAACTTTTAACACATACCAAACGCCTGTAACACATGTTCTATAGAAGATTTAATATAGTTTGAAATGCACAAAAAACGTGAAGAAAAATTAATCATTACTCTTTAAGAACATGTTCAGACAACATAAATAATTCAAGATAAAACTCATTCCTCAAAATTACGTACACAAACAGCAACGCTACAGGTAAGATATTCACAAAAAAATGAGCAAATACATCATGTAGATTATCAATAAAAGGAAAGAACATACATTACAGAACTTCGATTGATGAAGAATCTGTGGCCGTATCCGTACTCAGAAAAACCCTAAAACGCTCGTAATAAACCCTAAAAGCCGGCAAGCAAGAGTCTTCTCAGTTCTCACTGATCTAAAACACGTTGAGATGATAACTATCAGCTATTATCACTTTAGCCCCTGTACTTAAAGATAGGGACTTCGGTAACCCTGGACCCTAAACTTGATAACGCAATAACGGGAATTTTTGTCTTGGTCTTTTTTTTTTTTTTTTTTCAAATTGTTCACAAACACTTTGTTATGGTCATTTTAATACACTCTTTAGGTAGGTGTTGTTTGTTTTTGGAGAAGTTAAACATATGTAGTTTCCAGATCATAATTACAAAAGAAGAGGTTGAGTAAGATATTGTTTGTTTTTTAAGAGGTAAAATGTTTGTAGTTTGTAGATCATATATACAGACATCTGCAGAACAAGAGATGTACCAAACATCTGCAACCTACAACAAAAATATAATTTTTGTTTTTTAATGTCTACAAGCTAAAATAAATTGATTTTTTAACTTAAAATTTTTTTAACCTTGTAATTAAAATAATTATAGTTTACAACGCTGAAATATAATTCATACATGCACAATAACTTAAAAAAAAAAAAAAAAAAAAACGTTTATTCTATATTTTGTATTAACTGCTCGACAGTTTCATCACGTAACTAAACCATATATTTTATGTCTGTTGCAATACCATAATACCATATCGTCAACCTCGTCTTCACCGTCATCAATGCAAACATGACTATTTCGAAACAACACATTAGGTTGATCGTATTGAGGAAAGAATCCATCGCTCAAACCATATTTCCTTATAAAATTATGAAACGTTAAACATGCAATGGTAATTTTCTTTGTGTAGCCAACAAAAATAATGTCATCTTCTTTAATATTGGGAATCGTGCTTTCAAGACACCAAAAACACGTTCAATGATGTTTCGAAGTTTTGCATGTGCATGATTAATTTTTTCTTTATTGGTCGTCTATGACAAAAATCTCCAAGCCAATACATTATGTTATGATACAAAGCCACAAATCATCAAATGTGTGCATACGTGACATCACAAAGATAACATTCCTCTGTAAAAATATAAATAATTAATTAGTTTTAAAATTAAAGTATAAATATTTAAAAACCCATAAACGTATATGGTCGTGGAAACGGAAATGGTGTATGTGGATATGTTAATACTTCTGATAATATTTTAACATCATGTGCTACCCTTTCATAGTCGGCTACAATAAACGTTAAAATCATGTTGAAGTCATAAATTATCAATACGTTTTAATCACAATCATCTTTTTCCCTTTCTCTATATAAATCTTGTTTTATTTTAACAGGAACAGTAGCATGTATCAAAGTTCCATCAAGTGCACCAACCGCTTCTTTAAAAACTCGTCGTAGCCTCTTATTATGTCCAAAATGTTTGGATTCCGATTAAAAAAAGGTTGCTAGTATTATATATTTTGCGAAAAGCATCATTCTATTCAACACTTCATAAAAAAATTATGAATTGTTTGCTTTGAGTGTTGAAATCTATTTTTTTTTTTTGTTTTTTAAAGTTTGTATACTACATAAAAAACTTAATTTTATAAAAAATGATTTTTCAATGTATTGTAATCTATGACAGCAACGAACTTGAATTGTCTTTAAGATACATTTTTATTATGTATCGAATAAAACTAAAGAGATGAGGAGGTTGTAAATACATATATAGTCAAATGTATTAATTTCAAGTTGTTTTTGTAAATACTAATTTAAAAAATCAACCCCTTAATAAATATAGTGTGACTAGGGGTGTTCGCGGTGCGGTTTGGTAAGGTTTAGAGTTGAAACCGCAAATCGCACCGCACATGCGGTTTGAGTTTTTTGGAAACCGCAAATCGCACCACAAAAGCTCTAAACCGCATTATGCGGTGCGGTTTCATGCGGGCGGTTTGTGCGGTTTATGTGCGGTTTATGCGGTTTGATAAGTTGTTTCAATTTATAACTTTCGTTGTTATTCATTCCATTTAAACACTTTCAAAATTTATTAATTATATTGCATACCCTTTAAAAGGCATAGATATTGCAAACAAAAAAACCACATCATGTTTTGCTAAGTTGTTATGACTTATGAAATTTGATATCATAGTCTTTTAAGTCTTTAATTACCATATTTAACCATCGTGATATAGAAAAAAGTTATTGGACAGTATGAAGTATTTGGTGATTGGAAACTTTGATATATATATATATATATATATATATATATATATATATATATATATATATATATATATATTTATACAACGCGGTGCGGTTTGAACCACGATTTGGTAACTATAAACCGCAAACCGCACCGCATAGTGCAGTTTGACAAAATTACGAACCGCAAACCGCACCCCGAAATTCTAAACCGCATTATGCGGTGCGGTGTGGGCGGTTTGTGCGGTTTATGCGGTTTTTTGCACACCCCTAAGTGTGACTACTAAGTTGATCAAATTTCAACTAATTTGATTAAAATAAAATAAAACAACTATTTAATATGATTGAAAACAAAATCATCTATATATGTAGTTATTCGTGAATAAATTCAAAATCAAGCAGTTTTTCTTTAACTTATAAAACCAATATATATCAAGTCTATAGGAACGAGACTTTCAGTGTAGTTATGAAAACTTTAAATTAACACATTTGACAATATAGATATTTTACATACAAGGCTAGCTACCTTGTATGTGGTTATCGACATTTTATCCTGTCTGTAACATCCATTTTGTGAGGTATTATATTCTTGGCATTTTTGGTTAAGTGTTGATTGTTAAAGTCGGAAAGGGGATTATTACGTTGGGTGTAATATAAGTACACACAACGTACTCACCTGACTTGGACGCGGGGGGGAGCACCTTCGTACGTTGGGCGTACAATATGTATGTTGGGTGTACGTTGTGATTCAGCAAACCCTAATTTTTAGGGTTTAACCCCTATATTGTCACAACTAGAATTTTGGCTAGGAAATTATGTCTATATGTAATCAAAACTCACTCGTGAAGTCCTAAACCTAATTCAACACATTTCATACACTCGACTTTGGGTTTGTAACCCTAACTTCCCGGTTCAAAACTATTATTGGGCCAGGAATCATTTATTGGGCCTAATGGGCCAATAAACTCTCAATTGAATTATTTTGAACTACGAATCCTCATTTGGGGCCTAAATGGACCCACATTCATTAAGCTATAGCATTTTGGGCCATATTGGGCCTAAAATGTCTCACCTTGTCTACATGGGCCTTAATGGGCCATGAATGTTTTCTTGAACCTCATTGGGCCGAAAACCCATTGTTTATACCATCTTGGGCCGTAAACACCTATGTGGGCCCACATGGATCAAAACTCCCTAATGGGCCAATTGCAAGAACAAGCCCAAGGCCCATATTTTCCTTTTTCCCTCTCATTCTCGAAAAATATATATAAAAAAATTATGGGAAGGAACATCTTGACACCTCACCATTTCATGGTGAATATCCATGCATAGTATCCCTCATATAACAATGAAGTCTCATGTTTCTAGGCAAGTATTATCACTCCCCCCCCCCCTTCCCCTCTTATCCTCGGCCAAGGAGAAAGCACCACCACCACCTTCATTTCACTCTTAAACTCACCCAAAAATCCTCTCTAGAACTCTCAAGAAAATCTTATTTCCCTCTCCAAATTCGTGTGAGCTTGTATGTAAGTCATAGGATACTTCATCAAAATCCATCCATTCTTGGTAAGCTACTTCTCATCAAGGTGTTTAACTTCATGTTCATGATGAACTTACTTCTCTTAACACTCCGTTTCATGATCCATGTACCTTAGAACCCCATAAGTTTGAGATCTACTCAAGGGGAGCTTGCTAGGGCTGAAATCTCTCTCATTTCTTCACATAAAACCGAATCCATCAACCCAAAGTGAGTTCATACCCCTATTTTCGGTTTTATATTGTTTTTGGGGGAGGATACAAATTGCCTTGTGTTAGATCTATGTGTTTATGTATGTATATGTGTGTTTTATGTTATGTGATGTGATTTTTACTATGAAAACTTGTTGAAACATCACAAAACTCGAAATATTCACTAAACATGGTGATATTTGCAAACTAAAAGTATTACATATAACATACTATGAAGTGAAATGAGAAAACGTGTTGAAGAACACTAGAAAACTAAATAAATTCGTGTAGAGGGCCATTTTTGACAAAACAAACAAAAAGGTGAGATTCTTATGTAACTCACGGTTGTGAGAGGACCAAAATGGATAACTTTTAAATAAAAATGGATTTTTATGAAGTTCATAGTTTAAAAGGGACAAAAGTGTAAATTTTCACAAAATGGGCCTCAAATTTGGTCTTCACGGTTTCATGGGCTAAATTTGTAAACTTTTGACTTTTGTGGGTTAAATTCTCATTTTAAACAAATTTGGGCCAAAATTGTAAATTTTCGGTTTAATGGGCTGAAAATGTAAATTTCTTTAACTTGGGCCGAAAAAGTAAAATTCTAAACATTTGTGCCGAAAATGTCAATTTTTCATAAAAATTGGGCCGAAATGTTATTTCTAACATGTCACACCCCCAAACCAGACGGCGGAAACGTCCGGGGGTGGATGACTTCATTTGTAGTATCACAACACATGCATTATAGCAATCAAAGTACAAACAACCATTGTATTAATAAGTATAAGTTTTTAGATGTGTTCAATCAATGTATATTGGCACCAAAATAGTTATACAAAAGAAGAAGACATAACTCAAAATAGCTCCATCTTCTCAAAATCTCGGGGAGTACATGTCTACTGATTCCCTGAGAATACAAGTAATTTGAAAAGAGAGTATCAACATAAAGCTGAGTGAGTGCATAAGTATTTATGTTTGAAAGTATATTTTCTGTTCTAAGAATATGTAAATTGTTCCAGAAAATCCTATATTTTCTGCTGTATATGAAAAGTAGTTTTAATCTCATAAAACCGTTCTTTTTGTAAACCAATGTTTTGTGTTTGTATTTCTTTTATAAAACCTGTAACTGTGAGTGTGCCTGGTTCCACCAGCTGTTATTGTAAACTGTAATGTAATACTGTAG